TCAGAATAAAGGAATAACTTCCTATCAGTTTATGCTTGCAGAACAGCAGACCTGCCCAATACCACGCTGTGCACACTCAGACACCAACTTGATGCAGTCGATGAGACGAAATAGTTATTTTTTATGCAAATAAATAATTCTGTAAACTAAAGAACAAGCAGAAACACTCCAACACCAGCTTCAATTATATTAAACTTCGTATAAATTGGTTATGAATAAATACTATATAGTATTAAAGCTTTCTATAAAAAATGTGGGAGTGGTGATTGTTAAACCCCCTACAAAAGCTCCAAGATGCATGACATGTGCGACTAGTGTTTAGCACACACATACGACATCAATATCGGACCATAGCTTCTGAGACTTCCCCTGTGTTGTGGTGACTGACTAATCTAGAAGGTTGTGCTTAGGGATTGTGCTGGTTCAGAGATTATTGCGTCAATTATAGCTCCTTTTCTGAGACACTAGTGAATGCCCGTTTTATTTTTTTGCCCCAAGATTATGGTGGTACATGCTCTCGTGTTTCAAGTGTGATAATATATTTAAAGCCTGCTCTAAGACAAACTGTCAAAAATTGGGCTTTTTATGTGGTCCAAAGCTTCATTTAACATGCGATTTTGAACACTCTTATCTATAGCATGACACTTATCCACGAGAAAAAAAAAATACTAGTTTTCACCTGTATGGTTCTATTGATTATGGGCTTATGCAGGCTCAAATGGCTAACTCACTTAGTTCATCTTTTCTTCTTTAATGGATGTTGGCAAAACCATGACAGTCATTGAGATAATGATATTTAGTTAATCTAGCACAGTAATCTGTTCAGCACAGTGACGAGCGATAAATTTTGGAGGCATTTCGAGGCTCTCGCATGACTAGGTTTTCCTCCTACAACTTTTATCAAGCGAACTGCGCATCGAGCTTATTTTAACTGCTTTGAAAATTACTGCGCATTTCGGCCATACGGGCATGCCCGCTAAAGCACTTTGCTAATTTTGTAAAATTTAGCCATGTTAAACAAGAGGATAGACAGAAGTGTACCTAACTGGGCTGGTAGGTACATGATTGAGACAAGAACAAGTAGTACAAGACTGTGATGGAACGACATCAGCGGCCTGTCTATCATTTTTTCACTGCCCCGTGTCGAGCGGCTTTTATCACGGTCTTTGATGATAGACAAGACTAAAAATCTGAATACCGAGTCGCGGAGGTATTTGACTTGGGCACTACAAAGCGTAAACAAGCAAGTGATAGGTTGCAAGTAGTGCCTTATTGTCTTTGAAGCTTTAAAAACTAAATCGAACGCTGCTCACATGTGTTGGCATGTAGCTTCTCTGCTCATGCTTCAATAACTACACAGCACCACCTGATGTTGGTACAGTCCCAAACAAACCCCTACGCGAACATTGATGAAAACGCTCACAACCGATGCTAAGGAGGCCGGCGAAGAGCTTGTTCCACGGCTTCAGCGAAGGTGCTAACCAGACATCGCTCGCTGCTTCTCTGAATACTGAGATGCAGTCGCTCGGGGCTGCACAAGACTGGGAAGCAGGAGACACTCACTAGAAAGGATTGCAAGACTCGACACTGGAGAGAAAAACCCGAGTACTCCTAGAGAAACAAATGTCAGTTACCGCACTTTGCCACTCAAAGGCCACCCCTACATGTGTCTTGAACCGTCTTCATAATGAGGCACGCTTTCTTTCCGGCTTGACTAGTCTACGACAGCGTGCGGATGTAACGACTAAAACGTTTCTTTCAACGAACTTCTCTCCATGCTCTCTCTGCATCTAAACTACAGTAGACTCCCATTAAACAAAACTCTCTTCAACAAAATCGCTGCTTAAATGGAACAACTGCCTCTAATATGACTGGTTTCGTACTTGAATATTGTACCCCTGTTTTTATCTCGGTAAACGAAACTCCTCCTAAATGAAACCCATTTTCCTGGTCTCTTCAGGTTTTGTTTAAAAGGAGTCTATTGCAGGTTCTGCCAAACCCCCACTTTCATACAGAAAAGAACTCCCCGACAACAAACGTAGATAGTACGATGCGAGTCACTTCATACGCAAGAATTAAATGGCACAGAGGGAGCTAATGATGCGTCCTCGATAAAATTTCTACGCTAAGGACGTGAAATGACTGCCGCTTGATGCATGTACGATGCTTTGTGCCCACCTAGCACATCTTTATGAAAAATTATAATAGCCACTAAACGAAACAGTGTGCTTGAGCATTATTCGAGCTGAGTCCCTGTTGCCCTTTTACCCCTTGGCTCATGCTTATATCGGGAAAAGTGCATTTCTAAAGAAGTTCTCATTTATCCATAACTATGTCATATGCAAAATGACACTGTATTCATTACTACAGTCAGTCCTTATTATAACAATGTTGCATCTGCTACAAAAGTAAGTTCGTTATAACAAAAAATTAGTTATAAAGGTACATTTCTAACACTGTATCTATTGCAAGACTATTCATCTATTTTTTCATAACCAATATTACGTTTTATCTGCCTTTGTTACGTCAAGGTTTCAGTGTATATATATTACTATACCACACTATTTCATCATCAGAAATATGAGCTGTGAGAAGAACCCACTCAAACCTCGACATCACAGAGATGGGTACAGTGAAGTATAGGTTAAAACAAAGTAAATGAAAAATAGTCTTGTCACAGATAGTGTTGCAAGTGAACATGTATAAAGAATTTGTGGAAATAACAAAATTATTTTGGTGTCAGGTGCAACCTCAATATAAAGAAGCTTGGGTGTATTTCTAAGCTTTGTAGCATCGCTCGCCATGTATAAAACCAAGAACGGGAAAGTCTGGCAGGACAAGTGCTGGCTTTAAAAGCTAAACGTATGACATAAGGAAATAGCGAAATGATGAAAGATCAGAGATATCGCCCCGCTGCGGTGGTCTAGTGGCTAAGGTACTCGGCTGCTGACCCGCAGGCCGCGGGTTCGATTCCCGGCTGCGGCGGCTGCATTTCTGATGGAGGCGGAAATGTTGTAGGCCCGTGTACTCAGATTTGTGTGCACGTTAAAGAACCCCAGGTGGTCAAAATTTCCGGAGCCCTCCACTACGGCGTCTCTCATAATCAAATGGTGGTTTTGGGACGTTAAACCCCACAAATCAATCAATCAATCAGAGATAGCAACTTAGCTAAAGTAAGTCTGAAGTAAGTCTTTACCATATGCAATTATCCTTTGCCCATATGTAAGCATGGCACCGCACAATCAACAACAACTATACCAATAAGGTTAAATTTGATCCTTATCAGAGTATCACGCAGTACATAGGCCTATCCCGTAAAAAAGCCTTCAATACGTACTTCAGTAGTAAAAAACGCTATTCAATAAAAGAGCTGTTATAAGCACTACCGTTGTAAGTGATAAGAACTCTCCTTCCTTATAGGCTGTGTCGAAAGCTCAGATGCACGCGTGCAGTTGTTAACCCATGGTGATAGTCACGAGGTGTGTCGTTTAAAGTAAATGGCATTACAGCAGCAGGTAGAAGGTGATGTGTTTATAAAGTTCTTTTTACAATCTTTCGAGCATTTCAGGAACTTGAAGATGCAAAAAATGCCAGTGATGTGTTCCCATTTTTATGAATGACGGCCCTTATAGGTGACACTACTAATTAGCTGCACTGGAGTGCGAAGCTCGACTGGGAGACAATGCATGAGGTTCTTCTTACTGACGTTTTCTTGAGTCCATTCAGAAGAAGTGTGTAAACCTAGGAAACTGTGACTAATACAAGTCCTTTGAAAGGAGATGTAGGCTGCTGTATTGGGAGTGGAGTTATGCATGCTTTTAGGTAGCACAGCGAGAACAAGGAAGAAGAAGAATAGCAAGACATATCGAGCCAGTTCCATTCTTTTGCATTGATATCTCCTCCTATGCTGTTTAACAAGGAGAAAAAATGAAGTTAATATGATCACAACAAAAGCAAGGACGACGCAGTGTAATAGAATATATTTGGTCAGTCCCCTCGCTCAGCACTAACAGGACAAGGCCTTCTCTGAACAAAGACGACGGAGTGCAACAGGACATATCCTGTCAGTCCCCTTGTTCTGCACAAACATGTCCTTCTCTGAGCAAATACGATGGAGCGCAACAGGACATATCCTGTCAGTCCCCTTGTTCTGCCGAAACAGGACATGTCTTTTTTTGAGCAAAGACGACGAAGTGCAAGAGGACATATCCTGTCAGTCCCTTTGTTTTCCCAAACAGGACATGTCCTTCTCCGAGATGGTGTAACAGGGACAAAAGAAATGACGTGGAGGGGACATCTGTCATGCCTGTATCATTTGTCCCCATCTTGTAAAATTATGAGTGGCATAGCTTCTTTTGAACAGCACATGGTAAAAATAAGACTATAATACATGATAATAATAATAGGACTAAAGCTGACGAGACATGACCTGAAAGTTAACTTTCAGGAGATGTCCTGTCTGTCAACACATGATCGCAGTTAATGCTATGAGAAGTAATGCCCTGTCATGTCTCTTCCTTTTGTGCTTACCTTAAAGAAGTACTTAATAGCAGCTGACCGACACAGGTAGGACTTGCTCTGTTCCCAGATAAGGCATGACTACTTTTTGGTGGAGCATCAACGCCAAGGACTAAAATCATAAAATTTGTACTTCTTGCCCTTTCGAACAATTGACAGGAATGGTGTCGTCAGTTTTCTATTTTTTATCCTTATTGAACTGCATGAGGTACGCATGCCCTGATGGGACGTATCCTGCTTCTAGGCACGGCACTGTTTCCTTCAGATAGGACAAGACAAGAAGAAAGCAAGAAGGAAACTGACGAAATATGTCCTGGTATATGGCCATCCGAACATGCCTGGTAGGTTACATTCTTTCCCATATATTTAGTCTCTACGTGCCATACAAGAGCAATCTTATCCTGCCAGGACAAGCCCTGTTGGTTTTGTTATTGGTGCCCTCACGTCGCCATGCTTTCTGAAATCAACTATGTCCTCCCTTTTAAGGAAGCAGGACATGCTTAGGGAACTTCGAGGTCATTGATTTCCTCCTTTCCCTTATCCCGTTTTGTTACCTGAAAGTGGCTATTGAATATGTACCCTCTCACTGAAAACTTAAATGCAGGGGCAGTTGTGTGGAGCCCGGACGTCCAGACCAAAAGTGAGGCGTGACTAGATGAGGTGAAGTGTGGCGACTTCGCGTGGTGCATGACCGACCACCAAGAGGTTGTCGTAGCTCGGAGGCGGCTGGCTGGCGGCGACCGTGGCTGCCCTACAAATGAGAGAACAAAATAAATCTAATAAAATTCCCGGGGCTGACATGCCAAAGCTATGATCATCAGGAATGCAGGATCTGATTATCAGGAATGAAGTATTGGGGGAATCCAGATTTTTACTATGCAGGGTTCTTTTATGCGCATGTACACTATTTGTCAGTAAAGTCGTGAGACTGCGTTTTATAAAAAAGAATTTGTTGATTTGTTCGGCACATAATATTTAATTTGTTCAAAGAAGTTCTCTAGGGCATCCATACACTGAGCATCATGAATCACCAACTCACCCAGTCAGTTATTTTGACTTTGTCAGAGACTCTGCACCAACGTGTCGGATGGCAGGAACACCGTCGAAGTGGGGACCTTTTAGTCTGCTCTTTAGATTTGGGAAAAGAAAGAAGTCCGCCGGACTCGCATCGGGGCTGCACGAGGGTTGCATCAGCGCTGACCTAGCCCCAGAAGACTTCTGGTTTACCAAGGTCAAGAGTAGCCAGAAAGGTCACGGCTTTGACGGCATTCTTGCCCTTAGACAGGCAGTCACAGAGGTCACTGCAGCCAACCTTCAGCCTTTGCAGCGTGAGAATCATTATGTCATTGGTATATTGACACCTGAAGGAACTATCACGTAGAACTTAACTGGTATATACCGATAGGATCAATGAATTCTTTTTACAAAACCCAGTCAGATTACACTATGGGCAGACCCTGTATAGCTAAGCACACTAGATGTTCTCGCATTCTGGCTCCTTCGAAATGAAGCCACTGGGTCCAAGACTGACAATGCAGTTCTGATTGGCCCAAGCTTCCACTTTAGCAAGCAACCATGCATTATGTATCATGAATGAATAGCAGTGAACAATTATGGCGGCATTATTTCTTATATTTGAACTAAAACAAAAAACAAAAAACTTTTTACCAACATCTAGACACATCCATTGATACTTTACAGTGGTTCCTATACTTTTACACCATCTGAGACTAGGTTTTTTAACGAGGTCCCGAATTTCATTGTGGGTTTCCTTCATGTCATGTGTGGAGGCATAACGTAGTCGTTAGTGGTGTGTGCGGCACAATTACCTTCGGCGCAAAGCTCTCAGCGATTCGCTCACCGGGAGCCAGGGGTGAGTAGCCAGTGGGGCTGGGTGCTGGGCATGGCAGGCACCGTTGCGACGCTGTGCACCGACGCCGGACCGTAGCCGCGCCGCTGGGCCTTACCCGGCGACGGCATCTGCGGCTGCTGTCTGTGTATGCCAGACGCGATGTCTGCGGCACACGGCATGGGCACCTGCGTAGCCAATAGCCGTTCAATGCAACCTCAAGTTTGGTTTTCATTAACAAATAAAGCTTTCCTGCACCTACAGGTTGACAGAACTTAAAGGGCTTTTGATGTCAATTTCGGAAGATGAGTTTACTCCGCCATACAAATCTCCTGTAACAGGAAACCACTCAGACCAAGCGCAAAAATCAATAAATGCTGATTACACATTTTATTTTCGCATTAAATCAATTTCCGCATGGTGCACTTACTGAGATCGAAACTAGCGTGGAGTCTGGCTACAGTGTCAATTTTGGCGAGCAAGCAGCAGCTCGGCTAGTTGCGATGACTCCAGGTACCGAAACATACAATAAGACCGCTAGAACATCGCTATAAAGCATTCGAAATGGCCACTAGTGCAAAACTAACGAAGACACGCAGTGGAGTGGCCTTGAAAATGTTACAATATTGTCACGAGGTTGTGATACACGCAGCACTTGAGAGGAAGCACGCAGGAGTCAGGGCGGTGTCAGGCGAACTGTTTATTGGGCGAACTTGTGCCCAGCAAAACAGGGCCAAACACAACTCACAGCGACAGCGGCGTGAACAGTCGTCGGCCGACGGAAAAAAAAGAAAAGACCCCCAGTGGCGCACTGCGCCGGCTTTTTATACACGCGTCGTAACGCGTTCCAAAGTGGCATACAAGATAAACGCGGCCTGCGTTGCGCTTAACAGAAAGTGATAGCGTCTTCCTTCGCAAACGAAAAGAACCGCACGTGTCAGTTTTTTATACACGCGTCGTAACGCGTTCCAGAGTGGCATACAAGATAAACGCGGCCTGCGTTGCGCTTAACAGAAAGTGATAGCGTCTTCCTTCGTAAACCAAAAGAACCGCACGTGTCACTACCCCCCTCTGAAAAAGCATCGTCCCGATGCTAAAGACAGAACATAAGAGAGAGTACATGCAATAAATTACATTAACAATGCGTCACAGCTAATCAGCGCGCGTAATAAGGTTTAAGTCGCACCACGTGTACGACTTCGGGTCGTGCACGGCGTCGTTGGGATGACGTTAAGCCATCGGGTACGACCTCATAGTCCAGTTCACCACGACGTCGGACTACCTTGTAGGGTCCAAAGTAGCGTCGCAGGAGCTTCTCAGACAATCCCCGTCGTCGTATCGGCGTCCAGACCCAGACAAGGTCACCTGGTTGGTATTCAGTGTGGTGTCGTCGAAGGTTGTAGTGGTGCCTGTCGACCGTCTGTTGGCTCTTGATACGCAGGCGGGCTAGCTGTCGAGCTTCTTCAGCGCGATCCAGGTAGCTGGCGATGTCGAGGTCTTCTTCGTCGGTGCCGACCGGTAGCATGGCGTCAAGCGTCGTTGTTGGGCTCCGTCCGTAGACGAGCTTGTATGGAGCAAACTGCGTCGTTTCCTGCACGGCCGTGTTGTACGCGAAGGTTACATACGGGAGTATGGCGTCCCACGTCTTGTGCTCGACGTCCACGTACATGGCCAGCATGTCGGCGATGGTCTTATTTAGACGCTCGGTGAGGCCATTCGTCTGTGGGTGGTACGCGGTGGTTCGGCGGTGGCTTGTCTGACTGTACCTCAAGATCGCTTGCGTTAGGTCAGCCGTAAAGGCCGTACCTCTGTCGGTGATGAGGACCTCGGGGGCTTCGTGGCGGAGGACGATGTTCTCAATGAAGAACATGGCGACCTCGGCGGCAGTGCCCTTGGGCAAGGCCCTTGTTTCGGCATAGCGGGTGAGGTAGTCAGTCGTTACGACAATCCATTTGTTGCCAGAAGTTGACGTCGGGAACGGCCCCAGTAAGTCCATGCCGATTTGTTGGACCATCACACACACACAATTCACAGAATACGTCTGGCTGTGAATCGTGACTCTTGCCGTGCAGGTTCCAGTCGGTGTTATAAGGTGGCCCCCTGCTGTTCGGATATCCGGTCCTTCCCATGCAGTCTTTACCTTCTTGAGCTTAGCGGCGAAGAGACCACTGATGATAGAGTAGTCGGCGCCGGTATCGACTAGGGCGGTGACGCTGTGGCCGTCGATGATCACGTCGAGGTCGGTGGTTCGTCGTCTGGCGTTCCGGTTAGGTCGGGGCGTCGGATCACGGCTGCGTCGGCTTGGTCCGGTGCTGCTATGTCGCGTCGGCGGCGAGGCTTTGTCGTAAAGACTCTGCTCAGGCGGCGTACTGCGACTACGTCGGGAAAGTTCGTGCGTCGTGGTCGTCGTCATCGGCAGCGGCGGCGGAGGAGGATCTTCGGCATTGCGTCGTGCAGCAACCGCATTTCCATCGGTTGCTGCCTTTAGTTTCCCGGGTAGGGGCTTGGGGATCGGCCCCGTTTAGGGCCGGTGTACTGGCGGCGATCCGGGGAGACGTAGCGGCCAGGCGAAGGTGAACGAGATGGTCGTCGTTGTTGCCACTGCGATCCGGCGATGTAGTCGGCGATGTCGCGAGGTCGCTCACCTGGGCGCGGACGCGGCGCGTTCACGTCGAAGCCACGCAGTCCCATCTCACGGTACTGGCAGTAGCGGTAGGTGTGCCCGGCTTCGCCGCAGTGGTAGCATAGTGGGCGGTGGTTCGGGGTGCGCCAAACGTCAGTTTTCCTCGGCGAGCGCTGGATTACTGGCGAGCGGGAAGGCGTCGGGGGTGGCGGCGGTGGCTGGCGACGAAACTGCGGAGACGTTGGGTCCTGGTGTTGGCGAGGAGCGGCGACAGGTCGTCGTGCAGTAGCGGCGTAGGTCATCGCCTCCGGTTGGGGCTGTGGCCGTTCAGGAACGCTCAGTGAGCGCTGTAGTTCCTCGCGGACTACGTCTTCGAGAGAGGCGACTTGGGGCTGAGACGATGGCAACATGCGGCGCAGTTCTTCACGAACAATAGCGCGTATGGTCTCGCGCAGGTCGTCGGGGCAGAGTCCTCGGACTTCTGCGACGTCTGGCGACATGCGCCGATCGTATTGGCTGGTCCGCATTTCAAGAGTCTTCTCGATGGTGGTAGCCTCGGAGAGGAACTCTTGTACCGTCTTTGGCGGGGTTCTGATCAGTCCGGCGAAGAGCTCCTGCTTCACTCCTCGCATAAGCAGGCGAACCTTCTTGTCCTCAGACATGTCGGCGTCGGCGTGGCGGAAAAGTCGCGTCATCTCCTCCGTGAAGATCGTTACGTTTTCGTTGGGGAGCTGCACCCGAGTTTCAAGCAGTGATGCGGCTCTTTCCTTCCGCACGACGCTTGCAAAGGTGCGCAGGAAAGCAACGCGGAAGTCGTCCCAGGTTCGAAGCGTTGACTCGCGGTTCTCGAACCAAGTCCTTGCGGCGTCTTCCAGGTAAAAATACACATGACGCAGCTTGTCGTCCGGGTCCCACTTATTGAGGGCTGCGACGCGGTCGTAAATGTCAAGCCAGCTTTCCGGGTCTTCGTAGGTCGATCCGCGGAAGGTAGGCGGCTCTTTGGGCTGGTTGACGACCACGGTTGCCGAAGACCTTGCTTCCGTCATCGTGGATGCCGGCTTCGTAGCAGCCTTTGTTTTCTTGTCCTTGTCGGGGAGCGGCAGGTATTCGGGCGGTAGTCCTTGTTGTCTTCGGCTCACTCGAACGACCGGGTCGGCGTCGTCCTCTTGGCGGCTTGGGCTTGGCTCACGGCTGGACGGGGGCGTACGGTACATGGACAGAGAAGCACCTCCACCAGATGTCACGAGGTTGTGATACACGCAGCACTTGAGAGGAAGCACGCAGGAGTCAGGGCGGTGTCAGGCGAACTGTTTATTGGGCGAACTTGTGCCCAGCAAAACAGGGCCAAACACAACTCACAGCGACAGCGGCGTGAACAGTCGTCGGCCGACGGAAAAAAAAGAAAAGACCCCCAGTGGCGCACTGCGCCGGCTTTTTATACACGCGTCGTAACGCGTTCCAAAGTGGCATACAAGATAAACGCGGCCTGCGTTGCGCTTAACAGAAAATGATAGCGTCTTCCTTCGCAAACGAAAAGAACCGCACGTGTCAGTTTTTTATACACGCGTCGTAACGCGTTCCAGAGTGGCATACAAGATAAACGCGGCCTGCGTTGCGCTTAACAGAAAGTGATAGCGTCTTCCTTCGTAAACCAAAAGAACCGCACGTGTCAATATCATGCGCGGGCACATGACGAGAAGCTTTCACTGTGTAGTGACATCAAGGTACAGTGGGAACCAAGACTAGCCTTTAAACACAGAAATAATTTTTCAGGGTACACTCATGCCTACTAGTACATTTTCCAGGATTTCGCCTTCTATTTGAAGCACATAAATAAAAAACACAACTGAAAATTTTTTTTCTCTGTACCTCTTTTAAGAAGGCGGGTCACAATCTCGCCACGTAACCAAAGCCTGACTGCCCATTGTTTATTCCCATTAAGGAATAGTTCTAATCGTGTTCTTGGACATGTTCTCTGACAGCGGAGTCACCGGACATCTGGCTTAAGACATCAGTCTAGTGTGTGCATTCATTCGTGCTGACACATTTATCAACAATTGAGGAAATGCCGCTTCCTTCTGAGCTTTTACTTAAACTTGTACGCAACTACACAATAGCTTTGTGCAGCTTACTGAGGCTCCGGAGACGAGCATTCGAGACGGGACGAGCTGGTACTCTGTTGCAAACATAAGACAATGCGGAAAGGAATGGAAGGACAAGCGAAGGAGGCTAAAATAATGAAAACAGCGCTCTTTTCTTTGGTGACCTGAGGCAACCTTTCCATCCTTTGCAAAACTATGCTACTATTGTAGCCCAGGAAACATATATATGCTACAAGCTGAGCAGTGATGGTCAAATCACAACATGGTTTATCAGAGAATGACGTCATGGGTTCAACTTTGAACAGCAAATGCTGCCTTTCAAGCAGTAGATTGTGAGAACATTTAGGTATTGATCCTACTGCATTTCATTTATGGACACTGAACAGTCTTACCTCTTGCTAAGCATTGCGTTAAGGAGGTCCTGCCACGTGTTTTCAGGATAGCATGAAAACTGAGCTTGTTGCACCTCTCAAAAACACCTAGCACCTAATAGCTTAAGCAACTTCCTAGCCGACCGATCCGTCAGTTTGTTAGACAAAAGGTAAATACATCAATGAACAACGCAATTAACTAATCAGATTGATTGGTCCAACAAACAATAACAACAGTTCTTGGGGTTTAACATCTCAAACCACCATATGATTAAAAGAAATGTCGTAGTGGAGGGCTCCAGAAATTTCCACCACCTGGCGTTTTCAACGTGCACCTATATCTAAGCACAAGGGACACTCAAGCATTTTGTGCCTCCATCGAAAATGAAACCGTCACAGCTGGAATTCGATACTGCAACCTGTCCATCAGAAGTCGAGCTCCATAACCACTAGACCACTGTGGCGGGTTTGGTCTGTCGATCAATTGGCCTGAAAACAATCCAAGGTTGTGGTTTTCAGGGCAGGAAAGAAGGAGTGCTGTGGGAGTGGTTAATAATTTTCTTCATTTAATAGTGAACCCCGCAGGTGTTATGACATTATTCACACAGTAGAAAACCACAAAGAACGTGAAAGCAGCAGACAGGCGCTGACTCAGACGTGTTTCTTTCTTGCATTACTCCAAAGAATAATGTCATCCCAAGTATGTATGGTCCTTTCCACCTCAACAGTCCCAACGGTGATGCATGAATGTTATGTCCAGAGTTGTCGTCCGCCCAAAGATATAAAGTCGTCAACGAATTTTTCGGACTCCGAAAATTCGCACTTGTTGGTTATTATGGACTTCACAAATGCACCATCAAGGTTCCCATTTCTCAAAAGCATTTTCGCAACCAATTTTTTGCACGGATTTATGTTCTAAAGTTTGATTTTCCGGGCTAAATTGTTTGTTTTGAGCTATGCCACTCGATTTCGAAAGCCGTTGTGTTAAATTTTCTTTTGACTTGGTCAAGTTGGGTTTGCAGTGGCTAGTTGTGTGGCCTCCTAGATTGGAAGCGCGCACAATGTTCCATTTCCTGAGGTCATGTCTGGCCTTCCTTGGCTAGCAAAATGGCAAATCTTTCTTCTTCAGTCAGCCTTATCATCATGAGTAACAACAAGTAGGTTGTTTTATTTTCTGCGCGCTTGTTCTTTTGGTCATCGTTGCAAACGTGGTCGTGTTAGTGGTGTGCCAAGTGTGTTTGAGCCGTCGTGCTCGTCCCATGCTCGCTGCTGTTCGCCATTGCTAAGTAGCACTCCTGTGGTCATGGTGCTCAGCTACTGATCTGGAACACGTCTGTTCGATCGCGGCCACGATGGTAGTGTTTTGATGTTGGCGAAATGCTGGTGGCTCACGTACTGTGGATTTTCAGCTCAGTTAAAAGAAGCCCCGACCATGTTGTTAAATTTCACCAAACAGGCGAGAAGTTGCATGCATCCTTTTGTGACCGGCGTGAAGTTTTTCGTTTGTTCGGTTTTATAGAGCCACAAACTTTGCCGCCAGTAACAATCGGCGGCAGCGATTGCCAACGCGTTTGCCAACAATGTTACCGTTGTCCAAATTGAACCGAATTCGCTCGTCCCCAAGAACAGCATGAAGCATGCCATAGTTGGCAATCTTTTTCAGGCTTTTCTAACGCGAATAAACTTTATTTTCATGGCTTGACCATGTTTCCGGACTGTTCGATTATTCGAACTATTTCGTGGTCCCCGCCAGGTCCGGAAAATCAGTCAGCAACTGTACCCGTAAGGCACGGTAGTCTAAAAAGCGTAGACAGTCTGGCGCAGTTAAGTAAGTGTTTACACTCACGCTTTGATATAACAAATCTGAATATAACAAATTACTGGTCATAACAAAGTAAAAAAAAATAGTCTTGCAATAAGACTTGTGTTAGAAATAAACATTTATAACAAATTTTCACATATAATAAGCTTATTTACATGTAAGATGCAACATTGTTATAATGAAGTTTGAGTGTATGCTTATTCAAAGCCGGCAGCCGAAATGCTGGGGGTAACGATCTGTGGCTCATTTGTAATGAGCAGGGGGAGAGGAGACGAGTTGACAACTGGTCATCTGTCGTTACGGGGTACCGCTTCACTCAAGGTTCGAGGGCTCGGTCGGGAATAAAGGTGCACATGGGACACAACAACCCACAAATGGGGTCAGACAGAATGAACAAGTCTTGTATCACCTGTCTCGGCGGGCCGACGGAGACGAGGGGGTTGTAGTGCACCGTGGCAGGCGGAACCGACGGCGGCTGAATCATCGCCGTCCGCCGGGCTCGTCGTAACTCTTTGCTGCGCATGTAGCACTGCAGGAGCAGCAGTGACACGTTGACGCCGATGAGCAGCACACCGATGTAGACAAACACAAGTAGGTCGCCGCCGGCGACCACGCCGTCTGGCGGCTCACCGATCCCAGGTCCTATGGGGGGCAGCTCGGAACTCAGCGAGGCGTCCGGCGCTCCAGTCTGAATGGCGCCGGCGATGACTAGTGCGATGCCCGTGAGGATGGCCGACACGTAGAATACCTGGAAATGCACGTCCTTGGTACTTAGTTGTCTCTTACAATAATAATAATATTGTTATCCCCCCGCACTTCCAATAATAATGTTACAAGTAATTTATTTATTAAGCTGTACGCGATGCACAGAGCTCAGCGAACAAGATGGCGCCAGTTCATTAACAACCAGCAACCGTCGTCATCTTTCTCTTTCATGCGGCAAGGCTGCAGCGGCTGTTCTGTATCAATATTATTATGGTTTCGCATGGCGAAACCACAATATGAATACGAGGCACGCCATTGTGTAGGGCTATGTAAATTTTGACTATCTGGCGTTCTTTCACACCAGACATCGCACGGTGTACAGCCTTGCATGGTGCATGAGCCTCTAGCCTTTTGATTCCATCGGAATGCAACCACCGCGGCTAGAATTGAACCGGCGACTTGTCAGCTAAGCACCGTAGCCAGCGTGCCCTTGAGGAGGACTTGTCCCAAACAATAACGACGCAACCATGCTCTAGACAGGAGTCTAGAACACTGCCCAAGGCATTGCCACACGAAGTTTGCTAACCCAAGGCAGCCACACGCAGTGAATTGCCGTTTGTTTCCCATCACCACCTGTTGCTCCAAGATGAGAACGGAGATGCGTGTCATGTGTGCAGATGGGGATAAGGCCTTGTGCACAGACACGTGTTTCAAGGAATACCACGTTCTGAAATAGTACTACTATAGAACATTGTGAAGTTATTAGTAATGCTGACGACAAAGAACTGTTGCTACTTTCTTTTTTCCAATTTTTTTTTACCGACTTTGCACATTTCAGAGATTCAAAAAGCGCAATGAAGTAATAATGTTACGGGTAACTTATTTAATAAATTAAATACGATGCACCGTGCTCTGTGAACAAGATGGCGACATTTCTTCAACAAACAGCCACCAACGTCGTCTTTCTCTTTCTTGCAGCAAGGCTGTGCCGGCTGTTATGTATCATAACCCCCCGGCGGTAGAAGCACTGTCTCGGTGCTTGAGCAACTCGGATGCGGTAGATGGAGGGTGATAAGGCTTGGGTCGAGCTATGTGCACGATGTCACTCGAAGATGACGATGATGTTGAATCGGCTGGAACGATCTCGTATGTAACGTCAGTCACCTGGCAAACGACGCGGTATGGTCCAGTGTAGCGTGACAGCAGTTTTTCAGAAAGCCTTACACGCCTAGTGGGGGACCAGAGGAGGACAAGGAAACCCGGTGAAAAGTGCATGTTTCGATGATCAGAATCGTAAGAGCTGTCTTTGGTGCTCTTGTGAGGCCTGCAGGCGGCTGCGGGCGAGTTGGCGTGCGTGGTTGGCTCGTGCGATGGCTTCGCTGGCATACTCAGTGACCGAGGGCAGCAAGGTGTCAAATGATAGGGCGGGTTCTTGGCCGTATAGAAGATAGAATGATGAATAGCCGGCAGTGCCGTGATGTGACAAATCATATGCGAACGTCACAAATGGCAAATGAATGTCCCAGTCCTGGTGGTCGGCCGCTACGTATATAGAGAAAGTGGTGCAGTTGAGGCGCTCTGTAAGACCGTTCGTTTGTGGATGGTACGAAGTGGCAATTTCGTGCTTGGCAGAGCAAGAGTGCAGGATTTCATCAACGACAGCTGATAGAAAGGTCCGGCCCTGGTCAGTGAGAAGTTGGCGTGGAGCTCCGTGTACTAAAATAGTATCATATACCAGAAAGTCCGCCACATTGGTTGCGCAACTTGTCGAAAGTGCTCGTGTGATATCGTACCGTGTCGCATAGTCAGTGGCGACAGCGATCCATTTGTTGCCTGAACTGGAGATCGGGAATGGGCCAAGCAGGTCGAGGCCAACTCGAAAAAAAAAAAAAGGTTCAATGGGAATGTCGATCGGCTGAAGGAATCCAGCTGGTAGGGAAGATGGCTTTTTGCGGTGCTGGCAGGGCTCACAAGCGGCGACGTAGCGGGCAAGACCAGGCCAAAAGAAACGACAATGTACACGGTCGTATGTGCGAGAGACGCCCAAGTGGCCCGCCAAAGGAGCGTCATGAAGTTGGTTGAGAACAGTCGCACGAAGATGTGCTGGTGTGACGGGGAGCAAGTCATGGCCATATGGATCGAGGTTATGGCGATAGAGGATGCCGTCTTTTACCAGGAACATTTGTAGAGATGCGTCGCGAGGCATTGACTCAAGCTTGTCAATGATGGTTCGCAGGGAAGCATCCCGGCGTTGTTCGTGGCCAAGGTTGAGTAGCTGCGTCACAGACAGAAGGTCTGGAAAGGTGTCAATATAGGCAGCCTCTTCCACAGGGTAGCGTGATAAACAATCAGCATCTTGATGTGACCGCTCTGTTTTGTACGATACGGTGAATGTGTAGCCTTGTAATCGTAGGGACCAACGAGCGAGGCGTCCTGTGGGATCCTTGAGTGAGGCCAGCCAGCAGAGCGCGTGGTGGTTGGTGACTACCCGGAATGGACACCCGTATAAGTATGGGCGAAACTTGGCGACTGCGTACACAAGAGCGAGACACTCGCGCTCCGTGATTGAATAGTTGCGCTCGGCTGTAGATAGCAGTCGGCTTGCATATGCTATAACACGGTCATGTCCGCGTTGGTGTTGCGATAGCATTGCCCAGATGCCATGCCCACTAGCGTCAATGCGAAACTCGGTTGGAGCTGATGGATCGAAATGAGCTAAAATCGGCGGTGTTGTAAAGAGCGTCGTGAGCTGGGAAAAAGATGAGGCTTGATCAGCGCCCCAGAAAAACGGGGTGTCCTTCTTCAGGAGGTTTGTGAGTGGGCAGGCAATGATGGCGAAGTCCTTAACAAACCGCCGAAAGTAGGAGCACAAGCCCACAAAACTGCGAACGTACTTTGTTGACTTCGGAACAGGAAAGTCCGTGACGGTGCAAATTTTCTCGGGATCCGGCGGGACTCCTGCGGCATCAACGATGTGGCCAAGTACGGTTATTTGACGACGAGCAAAGTGGCATTTCGACGAGTTCAGTTGAAGTCCGGCTTGACGAAAAACTTCAAAAATCGTCGATAAACGCTTGAGATGGGAGTCGAATGTGGGCGAGAAAACGATAACATCGTCTAAATAACATAAGCAGGTTGACCATTTAAACCCTTGGAGCAATGAGTCCATAATTCTTTCGAATGTGGCCGGCGCACTACACAGACCAAAGGGCATAACTTTGAAGTGATAAAGGCTGTCAGGAGCGACGAATGCAGTCTTCTCACGGTCCATCTCGTCCACAGCAATTTGCCAATAGCCAGATCGAAGGTTGATAGTGGAAAAATACGTAGCACCGTAAGGGAATTCTAAGGCACCGTCGATTCTAGGCAACGGGTAAACATCTTTCTTTGTAATTTTGTTGAGAAGCCGATAATCTACACAAAAGCGCCAAGTTCCATTCTTCTTTCTGAACAGGACAACAAGAGAAGCCCAGGGGCTACAAGAGGGCTCGATTATGTCTTTTGCAAGCATCTTTTCGACTTCCTGTTGTATGACTGTACGCTCGGACGCGGAAACACGGTATGGACGTCGGTGAATGGGACTCGCGTCACCAGTATTGATGCGATGAGTAACAACACTCGTTCAGCTTAAAGCCGTGCTGGCGAAGTCGAAAATGTCACTATAGGACTCCAGGACGTGACGAAGGGCTTCCGCTTGATCAGGAGCGACGTCTGATGGTACCATGTGGTCAACGTCGACGCCCGATGAACATGATAGAGTTGGTTCATGGTGTGAGGTGCAGCAATCATCCACTCTGAAGGGTTCAACCATATGGTTTTGTAGAGCAGTTTTTTCGCCCAGGGAGATACCTCGTGGAAGAATTTGGGCAGTGAGGGCAAAATTGACAATAGGAAGGCATGTGCGGTTTTCAACGATTGCCAAAATGGTGTGCGGAACAGCGACGCCATGCGTAAGCATCACGGCATGAATTGGTGCCACCATGTAATCGCCGTCAGGTACAGGTGGTGTAGAGAAGAGGTCGATATGTGTGACACAGTTAGGCAGAAGTCGTGCGAAATCAATGCAGCAAAGGCAACGTTGGGGTGGGTTGGTCAGATCAGAAAGTAGAGGCATTTCAAGGTCAAGACAGCCGGCTGAACAATCTATAAGGGCCGAGTGAGCGGTTAGAAAATCCATGCCTAGAATTACTTCATGAGGGCAATTTTCTATAAGGGTGCAAAGAACAGCAGTGCTTCTATCGGCGATAGTCACACGGGCAGAGCACATGCCAATAATGGCGGCAGTTCCCCCGTTGGCGACTCGAACGGCTCGGTTCAAGGCGGGTGTGATAACTTTCTTTAGGTGGCGACGAAGAGCAGCACTCACTATGGACACATGCGCGCCGGTATCGATCAACGTGCGCACAGGTACATTGTCTAAAGTAACGTTCAACAGGTTCCGGGTGGTCGGTAATGTTACACGAGTATTTCTTGCAGAGGTCGTCGTCAATGCAGCTTCACCTCCAGAAGCTGCACTGCCTAGTTTTCCGGTCGGGGGCGCTGCGAATAGGTCGGAGAGGCAGGACGGCATTGTGGGGGCGAACGAGATTGACGGCGAGCAGGGGATGGTTAACGGGCGTAGCGAGGTCTCGTCAGAGGTGCGGCAGAATCAAAGAATGTGGTCGCATAGGGGAATCAAAATCAAATGTTGAGGACGACTGGTGGACAGAAGTGGCCTGGGTAGGAGGCCCATAGTGTGCTGGCGGAGCCCAGTGATTGCAGCAGTGGCGAGCAATATTACCGACACGTCGGCAGTTGAAGCATTTAGGCTTGTCGTCCAGTGTACGCCATTCGGACAAATTGCGCTGTCGAGAGTAGTTCGAACCAAATCAAGCAACGGAGGGTCGACGATAAAAAGGCTCGGCAGAGTAGACTGGTTGAATGGGGTGTAGGCCGACGTTTGATAATTTTTGACAAACGACGTCTTGTATCAGTGAGATAAGTGGTCGGTGATGGATCAGGCATTGGAAATGGAGTAGCTACTGGTTGGGCTGTCTCGACCTCGCGACGAATGATGCGGGTGAGGTTGTCACATCGGGGAACTGGGCGGACGACGTCATCACAAGATGAAGTAGCAGCTGTGTTCGGCAGGCGCGTGATTCCGTGGGTGACGCGGCGGGCTTTAGCCTGTTCTAGACGGCGGCATTCTGTCAGGATCGTGTCGATGCTCGTGACATTATTAAAAACCAGCAGGTTGAAAGCATCGTCAGCAATCCGTTCGAGGACGTGATCAACTTTTTCCTCTTCTGACATGCGCTGGTCGACCTTGCTACAAAGCGCCAAGACGTCAAGAATGTATGAGAAGTACGATTTAGTAGACATCCTGGAAAGTTTTTCTCAGAAAAATTTGACACTAAAAGATTTAAGTGGACCCTCCCTTAATGCGAAATATCCTTTATGCGAACAGTGTTACACTTGTTCAGATTTCTCGTGCTCATATCGTAGTTGTTATGTGTGTAGTGGGCAGAGTAACGTTACTGTGTTTCTATGGCCAATAATGGACGGTCGGTTGACCAGTAGATATTGCAAAGTGACAGCCCAGTATTGCTGTCACTAGTTAATAATGGACTGTGGGTATTTGTGCTATATCTTGGATGGGCCCACACATTTTTTAGACATGGACAGATGAATTTTTCTGACCATCTGATTTCCCTAAAACGCCTGGGCAAATATGAATTTCCATTGAAGCTCTCCTGGAACAGCAACTTGCAGGTTTCCATGGGTAGGCAGGATGTGCAATGGGTCTGGGCTTTCAATATTTTAGTTATTTAGAAATGCTGTAAACCCTCACTTGAGGTCATTAGGACACTTTACATCGATTACGTAGGTACAGTTTTATACAACTTGCTTCAGTAACTTAGATGCACACTTCTAATAAGAACACATAAGAGCGATATTGAACAGGACACATTAGAATTTTTATAAACTTTCGAATGCCCCCCTCCCCGCCCCTATTCGTGCCTGTATTCGGTCGATCTGTGCAGTCCATATTGTTAGTGTGTTTTAGAAGTGGCCGGAAATCAAGATTCAAGGCATCCAGCCAAAGTAACAAACATATGAATCTTTCATTGCATCCTGTGGTCCCTAAACTTTTGACACCGACTACTAACCGAGTAAATGAATGAATTTATTTACAGCTTTTGTATTTACTACATTTTTTTTTGGCTTAAATGAGTCTGGGAATTTTGTAAAATCCCTCACCTGTTGAAAGTAGTGGCACACCTCGTGCGCATTGCACGTGACGGTCGACACGGGCTGTTGCTGTGGCTGCTGTGCGTGTGCCGACGCGACCGACAGCGAGCGCATTCCTCCCGGCTGCACCCCCGTGTGGGGCTGCGGGGCAAAGGGGGGCACGCGCGGCCCCCCGCCCTGCGACCCCCCTGCCAGGTGGTAGCCATGGCTCTGCTGGGACGACGGTGGCGGCGTACAGCTGCCGCATCGGCCTTCGCTTGGCTCAAACAGCAGTGAAGACATCCTGCGCAAGAGGGTAGCTGTTCTCCTTGCACGCTAGACGCAGAGGCGAATGTGTTGTGCAAAGAGCTGGACGTGGGCGAAACAGTGGTGCAGTATCGACCCATGTCGTCTGCACTCGTCGACTTTCGAGTTTCGTGTATGTTGAGCTTTTCCCCACTTTGAGCACCAAATACAGGTGTTGACTAATAGGGAAGCTGAGACAACCAGTGAATACAAACTGAACGTTTCGCTACACAAGAATGATGAAGTCTGTGGTGACATTAAAATCATGCTTTAGAATTTAATTTCATAATTAACCTGATATGAATTATTCTGCATAGCACTCGTTGCTATACCTTATTGTTCAGTTGTGCTTTCTTTATATTTATGATCTTTTTTAATTTGTATAACGCACCACAAATTTTATGCCATACATAGTAGACTCAATAAATGGAAACCCATCAAACGAAACTGCTGCTTATATTGAACAACTGCCTCTGATGTTATTGATTTCGTACTTGTACGCTGCAGCCCTGTTCATATCTCAGTAAACGTAACTTCTCTTGAAATGAAACACATTTTCCTGGTCTCTTCCATTTTATTGGAGTCTACTGTATGTTTTCGTTATGTTGTCGTATTTTGTTCTGGTGCGATATTTTCACATGCCATGTCTACCATCCTCTTCACCATTCGCAGTGTATTGAATGAGCTACCTTTCTCATGCTGCCAAGAAAGTTTACTGGTTTTCTTTTTGCAGATAATTTTAGTTCCGTGCATCCTGCACCACGAGCCCCAGCCAACATGTCCAGTTTTCTGTCATTGCAGACCTGCCGGCGAAAGGTTGCTTTCGCTTCAATTATGCCTCGCGGCCCCTCCAATTTTTCTGTTATAGTATTTGCACTACAGATGTTGAATGAATATGACATAGTACCAAGTGCACCGCCTTCAAGAATACTCACATAGGTTTCACCAATCAATCATATGCTTGCTCATTTCATTTAAAATTAGTCACAATGAGATTAACTGAGGTTACACTATATGCCCGAATCTTTGTTTAAATCCAGAGGAGCAGATGCTAGCATTGTGTTCAGCGACGATGTGAACATGTAATGCAACAGAATGCAGTAGCGCACCCCCACACACAGCTTAATTCCCAAGCATACTGCGATAAGAAGGCAAAATGAATTACTTCAACAGCTACCAGATTGCTTGTCAACTTCCTTTGCTTTCAGAAAGCTCTTTAAGATGTTACGTAAAACGTTTCTTCTGATGTACAGGCATTAAACGATACTATGAAGAAAGCACACCATTGTGAGGGTGTAAATAACACAACATAAAGCTCATTGAACATTCTTGTTGATCATCCTTGCTCTATGAAAATTTAACGTATAGTTCAGTAAGCTCGCATACAGTTATTAATCCAGACTACAGGCAGGCTAACTTTGAGCTACAGCTACCATAGCATGCTGTTACTGTAAATTAAAGCTTGTCAATCCAAGCCTTGCCTTCTACATATGTATCTCAACAAATCAGCAGACTTTAGAGGGTCTTACAAATCCGAAATAGTTTACTGCGATAGTAATTAAAGGCCATGGTATGCGCTGTGGTTGCACTGAATGAAACGATAATGAAATTTAAGCGCATCAATCTGTTCCGCTGAGACACTTCGTGCATTTCTGTTGAGAAACTCGGAACAGCTAATGAAAAGAATTAAGTCTGCGAACTAAGCGAAATTCGTGAGTCAGTATAAGGACTACTACCGCAACAATTAAAGTATGTGTCAGCTAAAACACATACACTTGCTCATAATAAGTACCGGTATAGTTAACGTACTACATTACACACACGTCGCAAACGGACCCTTTTTTTTTCCCCTCTATTTTTGCGATCGCGCAACAACTACATCAGCATGCCTTTTTTCAGGACACAATTTTTCTCCCCAAAACGTACCGTCTGTAAATGACGCCTAGTAAAAAAAAAACAAAAAAAGTCGCGTATTTACATTTCCGCAAAACAAAACAGGCACGTTCCACACTCGTGGTAGCATGCTTAGATCACCTCTTGCCGCAATGCTTGGTCAGCGTCCCCGTAGAAAACTGTTCGTCCGGCATCGGACCTTCGGTTCCCACCGACGGCGCAGGCAAACCCGTCCAACGCGGCGCGACTGACTGATACATTACGCGCGCAGCACCCCTTCAACAAGGAACGCTGTTCGGAGCCAATTTACGATTATCACGCTCGCCATAGAGGCACGCCGTAGGCCGATTCACCGAGCCGGCTTGTTTAATTTTATCTTCACTTTCGTTCGGAGGCAACCTAAGACCTCCCCCTCGACTGTAAACAAAGTGGCGCGCCAAAGGCGCCCAATATCACGCCGCAACGCACAGCTGGCAGACGATCGGTGACCCCCCCAGCTTGGCCGGCGCGTTTAAAAACGGAAGATGCAACACACCCTCCATGCAGCGCCCCGATTGTTTATTTTACGAGCGATGTAAACATTACCTCGAAACGAGAATATTCGAGAGTCACGAAACCTTGGATCCGCGTCGTGCGGCGAAGCTGCCATTACCGGCAACGCGGTTTGCGAGGCGGTTCATAGCACTTTCCGGACGGATCTCGGAGTCGATGTTGCCACTGAGTCGACATCGGAGGTTGCACGGATGAATGGAGAGAGTTTCAGAGTGAGCACGATGACGCGCAGCCCGCGATTTCGCACATTTTTCGGCGAGAGACTTGCCCGCGTTGAAATTTTTGACAGACCGCAACCTCAGACTGTTTCAGCCCGTCTTTCCGGGCGGGTGCGTCGTTGGACCGTATTCATCTTGTCATTAAGTCTTCACACCTCTTTGCAGGCTTGAAAATAAATTATTTTACAGGACTAGTGACAAAAGTTAAGCTCGAAATTTACACTGCGTCGTTTAAAGCGAGATAAAAGACGATAAAGTTTGTACGTGCACTAAGGCGCTTGTGCGGAAGGCTGAAACCGTTACTAGTTTATTTGGATCCACGGAGGAAAAAAAAAAAAAAGATTTGGATCGGATTTAGCTTTCTAGTTTTGGTTCTTGGCGGCGCGTTGACGGTGGCGCAACTTGGTATGAAAGAAGAACTAGCCATAGATAAACATAAATTCGACAACATAAAATAGAAAACATGCTACTGTAACAAACAGCATTATAACTGAACGCGAGACAGCCATCCAGGGAGATCGAGTGGGAGAAACGAATCAGGTATGCGCCCTATGCCGGTGCATATGAAGAAGCTGGGGCGCAAACCTTCTAAAACGCGTGTTATATTAATGAAACATTCGGCCCCGCCACGTGCGAGTAGTTACCGCTCGCGTAAATCCCACCAAATGGAGATGCATGCGCGAGACTCAACAAACGCGTATAATAAATACAGTGAAAATAACTTCCTCTATTGCCTGCAATAATAAAAAAAAAAACTTTCATGCTTTACGAACACACGTGGCTTCCCAATACAACATTACGTGCGGCTAGCGTACATTGCCAGCGGGCGTCAGAACACGTGATTATCACAACGTGCATAACATGATTTAAAGCATATATATGCTAGCCATGTTACATAGAATGAACCCATAAATATGCGAAAATTTCACTGACAAGAGCCACTTTCATCATGATCGATTGCATAATTGTATTAACACTACACTCTCTAGTAACATCATACAATAAAAAGTATGCACTACGTGGTTGAAGTGCGCAATTGCTAACGCGTTAAACTCTTAAAGGCCAAGCTATAGGATATCCCCTAATCTTGTTGCTATTATATAGATGTAACGAGCTCAAAAACACATAAAGACAGCGAGGAGAAGCAAATGCAAGGCCAGCGCAGAAGACGCAGCACACTCACAGCGAAAGCTAGAAGAGCGGCAATTCAGAGCCTTTTCTAAACACTCATTGGGTAACTGCTGCAAGCACACTTGCTGGGTACCCACTACGGCGCATTAATAATAATAATTTCTGGGTATTAGGCCCGCACTCGCTCTGCTATCCTTCGTCATTCTTCTGAGAAGTGCGGTATCCGCTAAACACTTGCAAGGAATTTTGTGCGAATTATTCATGCAGGGGCTCATGGCGATGACGAATTATGTCTGAAGTGGGTATGCGCCACAGCGGCGCCGGTGCTTGCGAACAAGTCCCAAGCACCGGCATGGCTCAGTGGTAGAATGTTGGGCCGGCACACAGCGAACCCGGGTTCGAGTCCCATTGTGTCCTTGGTGCTAGGCTTTTTTTTCTTCTTGTTTCGCGCGAAGTGGTTACGGACACCGGCGGCGGCGGACAACTACGGCACCGCGCGTAACCCGAGCTGTGATCTCTTAACAACTTTCGCTGTAAAAAAAAAGAAAAACAGGCAGGTCAAGCGCTGCATTAACAACTTGCCTCCCCCCCCTCCCTCCCCAAACACATGATTCAGCAGTGCTGCGTAAAAGGCCATCTAAGCTTTGTCGATGTTACAATACTAACACTATCTTCGTGTGTGTGTGTGTGTGTGTGTGTTTTTTTTGCTGGCTTCATCCTCTGATTACCATGAATAATAAATTCGCCCAGGAAGGTACGTTATTGAGTTTATAGCTACTGCATATACAAATGTTCTTCGAAATTCAGAGTTGGGGCATTCACCCACCCCTCCTATCTTACACCCCTTCCGGACGCCACGGGTTATAGTGTAGCCAAACTTGGTGCGCAAGAAATAAATATCCGCGCTCACGCTTGATTGGGCAAAGCGAGATCACGTGACCTGAGCGCTCGGGCAATGGAGTTTCAGCGAAAGGGTCGCGTGATAATTGCCGCCATCGTAACCGTAATCTTGCCTAGTGTGCGGCTCCCTGCTATCTACACGATTGATTTATTAGAACTGACAGGTCTATAATAATTGTAATTAAAGTGCGAATTCATATCTTGGTATTTCATTACCAAAGTCAGCGCATAATCTTGTTTAAATTATTTGTTTAATCATTCCCAACGTACTCTGTGTGACCCCTTCGACTACTACTACTGCTC